CGATTCTTAGAAATGTGGGGGGGGTGAACATTTTGCTCTGCTTCTGTTTAATGACAGTCAACATTCTTGTCCATAGCCACTAAAATAAGATGTCAAATGCACCTAAAATACTTTAGTTTAGACAGAAAGGTCTCTCCAAAATACTGAAGTTTACGCAAGTTGTCTACATTACTTCTCAAACACAGCTGTACACAATATTCTCACAGTGGCAGTACCACCCAATGACTTCTTTCTCTCCTCGCACTTCGCTGTGTGTGAATCTGCAGATATTTTCAAGACTGTAGTTCAAAAATAAAACACAGAATTCAATAAAGCTTCTAAATTAGAAGGAAAATATGCTTCTGATTAAGTTTTTTCTAGTTGGTTATTTAATAATGATCTCAATATTGAGATTATATGGCATAAATAATACGATAATAATGGTTGTGGTGCTGTTCGTGGAATGAGAATTGGCCGGGCAAACCGACGTATCCTTAAGAAAACAAGCCCAAGTAATTACAATCAACCTTATGTACAATACTTATCCATTTTAAAACTAAATGTGACTGTTGTTACCTGCAGCACAGATAATGCTATCGTTTTCATACCAGAAAATGACAAGAAAGAACTATGCAACATTACACATACCCAGACTCATTATCATTCCACAAAATGTTTAATGGATATTCCAGTTTGCGGACGCATCAGGGGAACATGTACCCCCACCTCCTAACATTAGCAGTTAAATTTCAAAAGCATACCTTAGGTTTGCGTTACTTAAGACAGACCAAAATCCTACCATTACTAAGAGCGGGTGAACACAGGATACTGCATGCCGAGAGCCTCCGAATACTAGAATTTAATGTTATGAATCTTCACGCAAGAGCCTTCCTAATTTACAAGGGATAAAAAAAAAGTACACAATATATACGTAATGTACTCACAGGTTTATTGTTCTGTTGATGGTAATGGACTGATTTGCTACAAATTTTTGATCAAATGGTGTACTCTGACTTGCTCTTCGGGGCCATCCACTCCCCTTAATCTGTGCTGCCGCCATCGCCATTTTGCATTAACGTAATTATTGATAACGCTATTTCCTTTCGACCACAAACAATTTCTCACAAAAGCGACTTGCGGACACGACTAATGGAAACTAAAACGCCATCTCTTAATAAAACTGCTGAACAANGGGGGGGGGGTTATTCGGCTAATACAAATAGCATGGATCTCGGTACACTAATAATTGAAGGATTTATACATTCCTGGTGGCTACCAAACTTCTTGTATGTATGAACTGGATAAATGTTTCCTTCTATTCTGCAGTATACTCAACACTCTGCTCTACAGGACCATCTTTTCTCTATACTGTATCACTTCTGCCATCTCTACTCAGAATGCGATAACTAGTTACTACATCGTAGCCACCTGTATGATCTCATGCAATTCCTAGCTTGCTGGTTGGTTTTCCCATCCTGCATCAGCAGCATCCTCGACCATCGTGTAAACGTATCGACTGATTTCATTGGCTAAAATTCTGCACATAGTGGACAGCAATTTCATCGTCAAACGCGTGAAACTGCGTGAAAAGGAGAAGAAAGAGGGGGAGTTTGAAGATCATAACAAAAGTAAACTGCATTGTAACTAACTAATTAGTTTTCATGAATACTTAATTGATACACCATGTTTAAATACAATTCAGTTGTGTTGCATAGAGCTTAAAATGTTACAGTTCCAGCAGGAATGGGACGACATTTTTAGGCTTGCCCCAGTATCATGTAGGATATACAGTGGTCATTGTCTTTCATAATGATATTGTTTGCCATGGATGCCAGTATTAATAAACTATCAGTTGTTTGGTCATTTTCATCACCACAGATTTCTTCAGGTGCATATTTTTGTCTCAACAGAAAACAACACACGACCATGACTAGGAAAATTGTGTCTCTAATATAGACACATTTAGGGAGTGAACACAAGATTATATGGCTGCTAATGGTCTTTCCCTGCCCCTAGGAGAAAAGTAAGAAGGAATTCACATATAGGCACAATTCCAATGTTATACTTCTGATTCATTCATAAGTCTAATGTTCACCAGGGATACATGTCAAGCAGTTAATGTGGCATGGGACAGTTATTGTATTAACTTAAAACATCAGTTATATGTAGGACTGATGCAGCTAATCTGTTTTTCAGGAGTAACTGGTTTATCTTAACATGTCTGGAGTGCCCCTTCTAAAACGTGCAAGAGCTGAAAGTACAACAGTCCTCTCAGCAATAGAAGCTTGCAGCAAAGAAGTCTCAAATTTAAAATTAGTATTTAACCAACGATTAGGAAGTATTGAAAATCACATGGACCTTATTACAGCAGGATGTAATACCATAATTACGAGAATGGATGCTCTGGAAAACTTTGTACAAAATTATGTGAAATCTGACAGTTTTAGACACTCATGTTGTGAAGAGGTTCTCCAGAGAATGAATACAATAGAGGAAATGTTAAAAACTACATCTCTGACACAACAAATTTCATTTAAAGATGAAACTGAAGTCACAAATACAGAAATGTAAGTATGGTTATGTGTGTACATAATTTTACTTCAAGGCTTGGTCACATAGATAGTATTACACTGTTATGAGGCGTGGAGCTGGTGAAGGAAATTTTCTTCTTCTTTGGTGTACTTCAGAGCATGATGTCATTGAATAAGAATGCTAGGTATTATGGCAAGGACTAGCATTCACAACTCTGGTAACAAACAAGGCAACTGCACTGTAGCCAACATTGACCTGCAGGTACTGGTATCATGAAAAACTGCCCGTAAACTTGGTCCAGAGCCACCTGAGTTCAATCCATTTCAATTTCAAATGCAGTTTATGCACATCCCTTAATAATATATAAGAGATGATGTCTCACAACAATAGAAGATATGGGAAAAGGATTTATGTACCTTAAAATGTAGAGTTCTGGAAATTTGTACATTTTACCAAACATTATTAGCGTGATGAAATCAGGATGGGCATACATCTCATGTGTGGGAAAGATGAAAAATGCATGCAAAATTTTAGTTTGCAAACCTGAAAGGAAGAGACCTAGCCACTGATGGGAGGATAATATTAAAGTGAATTTTAAGAAATAGAATATGAAGGTGTTAGTTGGATTAATCTGACTCATAAAAGGGGACTAGTGTAGGGATCTTGTCAACATGGTAATGCACCTTCAAGTTGCATAAAAGGCAGAGACCATCAGCTTCTTAAGGACCCTTCTTCATGGAGTTAGTTCTGGTGTTTTTGAGAACAGGTGAGATGAATGCTGGTTACTGAACTGGACCATAACAAGGATGTAATCTAGTTTCTAAAGAGCGGCCTCCATAGTCTAGAGGTAACGTTCCCACCTCATGACTCGTAGTACGCGGGTTCAATTACCCGGCAGAGGTCATCGAATTTTTAAGGGCGGAAAAATTCAGGGAACAAGTCCTCCGGGAGGGACTTTAAGCCATGGGTCCCGTGTCGTAGCTTTACGGCACGTAAAGGAACCTCATATCTCCAAAGGAGGTCACTGAGCCAAATTAACGGACGTTTCCCACCCAACAGCAGTCTCTAATACCTCTGGTAGATGGGGGAAGCATTATAGATACCTCTCAGCTAGTAGAGCCGGTCTCGCTGGCTGGGCGGGACTGATGGTAAGCACCAGTACCGGTAGGATATAGAGACTGGTAGAAATCATAGAGGGAAGCACAATGGACCAATACAGGTCTCAGTGCATGGGGAAACCCACCCTCTCCACTAACTAACTAACTAGTTTCTAAAGTGTTCTGACAATGGTGAATGAGACACAGAATTACTGGGTTTAACCTTCCTTGAATTTATTTTCTGACAAATCAATTCAGTACCCCACTGAGTATATAAATTGTTTATTTTCATCAGCACTTTCTGGCAGTTATGCAAATGAAATCAGTAAGATAACTGTCCTTGAAAGACACCCACACAAAGGAAGAGAAGTTTCTGACACTTACCTTAGTCTCCTATAGGAACAAGTTTAAGAATCTTTGATTTGAGGTTTTCACAGTGGTGACTATGAAGATTACCCTTCATCTCCTAAATCTTTACTCTGTAACATCTCATTTTCAGATCATCTCCAATAGTGTTAGTACGTAATCACAAACCAGCTCAAGTTAGTGCATCTCTGGGACTGGATTCTACTCTGCAGGTCATCACACTCAACAACAAGACAGACTTTCCTGAAGGAAGTTGGCTGGGAGATGAAAATAATCCAGAAGCCAGGGTGCGATGTGCTATCACTCCATCGTAAGGGAAATTAATTGCACAAAATGTATATTTATTGCATAAGTGGTATAATATGTTAAAAGGAAATAAAGATATGATAGTCGTTACCCATTACATGCTTGAAGTTTTCCAGATTTTGAAATTACTTATTAGCAATTATATTTTTATGATGTATTCTGATTACTTACTTACTTACTTATGGAGCTGAGTCCTTCTTGAGGAGAAGCCAAACCTGCAGCTACTCAAGAATTTCCCAGCATTTTATGGAACCCGAAGGTTCATTACCGTGTTCACAAGAGCCCTCCACTGGTCCCTATCCTCAGCCAGATTAACCCAATCCATACCATCCCATCCTCTCTCTCTAAGATCCATTCTAATATTGTCCACCCACCTACGCCTTGGTCGTCTCAGTGGTCTCTTTCCTTCCAGCTTTCCCACCAATATCATATATGCATTCATCTTCTCCCCCATTCATGCTACATGCTCTGCCCACCTCATCCTCCTTGACTTGATCTTTCTAATTATACTTGGAGAAGAGTACAAGTTATGAAGCTCCTCATTATGCAGTTTTCTCCAACTTCCTGTCACTTCATCTCTCTTTGGTCCAAATATTCCCCTCAACACCCTTTCTCAAACACACTCAATCTATGTTCCTCCCTTAATATCACAGACCAAGTTTCACACCAAATTCTCCTCTATCGGAGCACTCTTCCTACATTCATGTCTATGTTGTGCTCTGTGTTGTGTCTTGCTCCTGTGACTGCGTGCATCACAACACAACACAGAGCACAATATAGACATGAACGTAGGAAGAGTGCTCCCATAGAGGAGGATTGGCATGACTCGCATATTTGAGATATGACGTATGGATGACAAATCCTGAAAGGTTTTAGTATTTAGAATTTGTTGTTATACATGACGAATATGCATTTTAGTCATTTTATGATGGAGACGTGATGGCATGCAGTGGAGTAGTTTAGCGTGGATAGAGACACAGCTGAAGATGGCACATTAGTGCCGAAACATGTAGTGTAAAAGTGAAGAGAAAGGTGAAATTGTGTGCACTGTAAGACGGTTAGCAAAAATACACATCATGGACAAGAATCAGTGCAACAGGATGCTAAAATATAACATGGACTTTCCTGTTTTCACATTTCTGAATCTCTGCACCCCCCTGAAATTCAAGGTCCTTCCATGCATGTCCTGCCTACTAAATACTTTTCAAATGAAGATTCAGCATTAGCATATTGAAAGAATGTTATTAAAATATGTAAGTAAGGTGTCTTTTTTTCAGAGTTCATAATGCTGTTTAACTTCTACAGATATGTGAATCCATTTTGTGCTCTAGAAATATTTGTAAGTAATCGTTAGTTACCAGTTCTGCATTTGAAAGACCACAGATTTTATGAAAACAAATACACTCATTCACCATTGTGAAACTAACTTGAATTCTATTCAGAGAAATCTTAAATATGTATTTCCAATGAAGCCCTGTGAATTTCTCTATTAGAACTTTGTATAAAAAGTAAAATGAGGCATGTAATTTTCCAGTTAATGTCATGTGGGTCCTGAAACAAAACTGTGCAAGAAAGGAACATAAGTCATGCAAAAGGAACTTCCTCATAGGAAGTAATATAAAAGCATCAAGTTCCATTTCAGTCTTTTATTTTACACTGTTATTGTGTATTCCATTAAATTTACTGAAATCATGTTAAGTGTTGTATTACACTTAAATCAAAAATAAGTTCCCCTTACCAAACACAATACTAGACTGATACTAGAAAGATACAGTATTCCAGTGTTGATCGTGATCTCCATGCTGTAGAAACCAGAGAGATTGATGTGCACTTGATCATAATTGTATACTATTCCCTCATTATCAATTTACACAAGAGACTCCCCCCCCTTCTAACTAGATGCTGAGCTTGTATGTCCTTTTGTAATATGCCACATGCAGTTCTTGCTGAACGCTTGCTGCCAAAATTACGCTTCTGTAGGTGGCAGATTGGTGAAGAGAACTGGTAAGTCCACCAAATGAGAAAGCAAGGAGTGGAAATTCCATTGTCATAAATTCATTTTTCTCACTCTCTTAGGCTACCGAACATTTTCTTTTAATTCCCTCCTGGATGAAGACTAAAATCATGATGTGTTTACAGTTTATAACATTCACAGCTACGATTAAGAACACCTTCTCTTCTCTTTTTTCATGTTCTTGCAGTATTTATGTTCTGTGATAAATTGTCATCAGGTGACAATCCGTTTCCATTTCCTCTCGAGTTTCTTTGATATCCCTGGCTTAGTCTAGAGAAAGATTAAAAATCAATCACAACAAATCATTATTTTTGTTTCAGCATTGTAAATCCAAAATGCATGAGAGACATAATTCATCTTCACACTGAAAAAATTGAATCATGACTCTAATATGTGAATGAAGCATTCTTATCTGTGATCCCAAATTCGTTTCCAATGCTATGGAACTGATGCACCATACACATAATTTTGTATACAAATTTGGATAGAGTGCATACAAGGAATGAGGTATCTCTTATTTTACTGTACTGTGGTATTAAGTTTGAACATGTTCTCATTGATTTTAATTTCAGGAATTTACTTCATATCAACACATTCTGTCAAACCCCAGAGAAAATGGCTGTCACTCTACTTGATTACTTGTTTCCACGAGAGGTTCTTGCTGTGTCCAATTTGTCAGGAAAAGGGAAACACCGCAAGAGACAGTTGGATCCTCTCATGGTACTTATAACAAGTAGAACATCAAATAAATGTAATCTGCATAAACAAAGAAATTTGTTAATGAAGTTGTATAGGTATCATCATGTCTGTACTTATTCTTTCACTAGGATTATAGATGGGCCCTTATGTAAGAAATTCACTGTTCATTTTCCCTTAAAATCGTTAAATTATTTCATATGAAACTATTTAGGAAAGGAACGGATATGAATTTCACACATACCAGACCTTTCCGACTTCCTTCCCCCTAATAAAAGGTATGAACATTAATAAATAATGTTTGTAAACATGCCCACTGTGAACCATGAACATTGTGTTGTCTGCAGGTTACTTGTTAGATGGGCCTGATATAGTATTAATGTTTCCTGATTGGTTTTCACCATTCTGCAGATTTATGGAATTCGATGTCATTTGTTATACAAGTTTAACATCACTGAAAGAGACTGGTATAGGATAAAGCAGAATATGGACTCTAAATGCAGAACAGCTTGGAAGAAGAAAGTTCGAGGACTGCCACTTGGAGGGATAAAGGTTTGTTGATAAAGGAAGCATACTATATAGAACAAGTTTTTTGTTGCCTGTACAGAAAATCCCCTAAATCTATTTGCACACATACATACATATAGAACACTGACCATATTGTTTTCTGTGCCTCTTCTCTTCAGTTTGCTGGTATTCTTTTCATAGGGTTCCAATCAAAATGACGGTTCCTCTCATCAGTTGCATCAGATAATCTCAGAAGATGGAGAATCTCTAATTGTTGCAGCTGATTCATATGTAGGAGACGATTCTGTTGAAGCACTGGAAGCTCAGGTTTGTATGTATAAGCCATATAATGACAGTGTAACAGCATGCTTATCACATCCACGGATACCTACAGAAACATGCAAAGTACTGTGACAAAGTACCAATTGGAACATGATATTGTCAATTCAGGTGTTGGTAGGAATTCATTGTAGGTGATACAGAGAAAGAAAAGCTTACCACAGACAGCGAAATGGTATTACAATGTGTATGTGTGTACCTTTTCTTTAAATGCTACATGTATGTCATTTTTAATGGTATAATATATTCTGTTTTAGGTTATTCACACTTCACAGGGTGATATCAAAGTTTTACACGCAACACCTGAACAGCTTGTTCGTTTACAAGAGACGCATCATATTCAAGTTCTGAGTGAAGATCAGATTTTGCCAGTGAGTATAATAAAAAACACTCCATGGCTTTAGCTCACAAGGAAACTAGACTGAGCGACTGCTGCTTGTTGGCGAAGCATATAGAGGGTGTCACGTGGTCAGCGAAACAAATTCCCACAGTCATTAATTTTCAGTTTTCTCCAAGATTAGAGAATGAAAATAAGAGAACACTTCAGATTTAAAATTATATTTATACTAAATTTTGAGTTTATTAATGCAGGTGTGTTTGTATATCCCTACATTTTGCTACATGTATGATTATCAGGGCCCGGATTTTGATGACATATCATCTTTTTTTCCTTGTATCCTATGCAATGCTCTTAAATATATAAATCTTGGATATGAGATGCTGGTTACAGAAATGTAAATTTTATAGGTAATTTTTTGACATTTTTAGGTTTAAGGTCATTTTTTCATTTTGGGAGTAATTTTTTGGACTTTTAAGGGTATTTCTTGTCATTTTTGGCAGTTTTTGGGAATTTTTCTTCATATGTTTTCTGAAATGTGAATAACATGGAAGCGAAGTGTTCTTTCTTTTCTCCTTTAGGTCATTTTTCTGGATTTTTTTGGTCATTTTTTAATATTTTCAGGTCATCAAAATTCGGGCCCTGGTGATTGTATTTAAGGGATATTTTCATACCTGTGATACATTTGTAGGGTCTGTTCCATAATGGATGTATTTAAGACTGAGTTATGTTTCAGGTTCTACATGAACAGATAATGGAGTCGGAAGATACTGTAGTTGAGACAGCTGATTCACTAACACTAGGCTGTACAGATCAGACATTAACAATAGTAACATCAACAGGTGAAGTGAGTGTGGATGTAGCAAGTATTGCAAGTGATCACAGGCAACTGGTGGAGACACAAGACATTCACATAGAGGGTGCACAAGTGTTGCAAATGGAAGACAGTGGAGATTTGGGAGTAGTGGAAGCAAGGGATAGAGTTATGGAAGCAGGTGAATTTACTACACTTGACTGACAACACGTCACCCTGCAAAACTAAGGCAACTGAAGTGAATTTACAATTCAGTGAAAATATTACAAGAACTAAGTTTGTTCAATTCATCTCACAGTTGTAAAAAGTAAAAGTATCCCTGTAACAGGCCATGAAGGCCCATAGGGTTGTGAGATGTTGAGGTTTCCACATTTTCTAGACAATCGGCTCAAAGATGGCGGTGAGGTTGTCAGCCCTATGCACCAGCTGCCCTTTACCCCCAAGAATATTCCTGGTACTCATTTCTGTTAGAGGCTGAGTTGACCCCAGGGCCATAGTGTGGCTGGAAGGATTAGGTCAATTGAAAAAGTCCAATGACCTCATCGGGACTTCAACCCACGACCTTCTGGCTTGTGGCATAGTGTCTCAACCAACTACGCTACTGCATGCCCCCTCATCTCACAGTTGTAATGATCATATAGTTCTATTCAAAGTGACCTTCAACTTTTCCCCATTCCCCTCCACATGCTCTTTCTCTAAGTGCTGTGTAAATTTCAAGCAGACATTTGTGAATCCTGAAATCTTGAAATCCAACACAAAATAAAAATGTCAGTGTCTACCATAAGTTAAATTTTCTCTGTTGATTTTTGGAAGTATTAGTGATTGTCATGCAATAGTATAAGGTAGGTAAAGTCCATCTGCACTACAGGCCAGGGTATGTCAGACTGTATATAGGAAATTCTACGGAATAAAGGTCATGTTTGCTTTTCCTACCAGTATGTGGATATCAGATGTATGTTGAAAATACAGGGTAATTAATAAGTCCCTCTGGAATTTCCGAACTCGGCAGCACAACAACCAACATAGACATGGCAGAAAGGAGCATATCAATACATAGAGAATCTCTCGAAGTTTGTTTGGGTAACAGGTGTCATGGCGTACTTGCAAATTTCACTGCTAGGGGCAGTCTTGACAAAACATGGCAAGGACAGGGGATTAGAAAGCATTTTGCATCTTAGAATTTGCCAAACTCGGTCAATTGTGATGGTGCAACAGAGGTTTCAGAACAAGTACAACGCAGAGTGGCTGCCTGTACATTGCAAAACAAACATGTCGACCGAGGCTGTCAAGCATGTGCAAGAAACATTTGTCACGAGCAGGGAATTGCAGATGGCTCAGGCAGGTGTCTGGCACATTCTATGCAAACATCTTCATATGAAAGGATATCGACTGCAGCTGTTGCAGGCGCTGAATCCACAGGATCACAATCATTTTCAGTTCTGCTTGGATTTTCAACAGCAGCTAGAGGAAAACAGGTTTGCTGAGAAGCTGGTTTTCAGTGACGAGGCAACATTTCATGCATTGGGGGCACAGAAAATCCTCATGCAATGGTGGAACATGTCTGTGATTCACCTAAAGTGAATGTTTTTTTGTCGTTTCCTCTTGCAGAGTCTACGGACCATTTTCTTTGTGGAACTGTTACCAGTATCAACTGTCTTGATGTGCCGCAATTACAGGAAGATAGTGAGGCCTTCATTTTCCAACAAGGAGGAGCCCCGCCACACTTCCATTTTGACATCCTTGCTCACCTCAGTACTAATCTTCCCAGTCATTGGATTGGGTGCACTTCTGACAATGACTCTCCTCTTCTTCCCTCCTTCTGTTGACATCCCCCCCGCCCTCATGACCATCCCAGCTACTGTACTGTAGTGTTTGGAAATCCCAGAGGGACTTATGAATTACCTTATAGAGTCTAGTATCTTTCTGACGATAAAACGGCCTACACCACACCCTTTTTCCCTTAGTAGACAGAGTATACCAACCTGTAAGACAATATCTTTTCCTCTGAAATCAGCATTATGAAACACGCATCGTAAATATGGATACTATATTTCTTAATTTTATCTTCATTATCAATCAACTCACAAAGGCATTATCTATTTACTATCCCATTGCAGGGAATGCAAAGCAATAAAAGCTATGGTTATATTCAGTGTTTTCATATACAGGATGTGAGGTTCTAGTACTGAAATGTGACAAAGGTGGTGGGAGAAACACTTTTCATGGTTTTAAGGCAAGTAAAACACTGTAGCATTATGTGCTGCAGAAAAGAAGCCTTTGTTGTACTAACATTACAGGACAGGCTGCACTACTGTCAGTTAATAATATGTATGTATGTAAGTGGTTGGCCATAAAACTGGCACCTGCACTGTGACCTTCAATGAACTATTGTGCTTCAGTTAATAATACATCTTTGTTCTGATCCCAATATACTCCTATATGAGCTCAGTCCTTCAAAACTTCCTACTATTATGCATAATGTACCAAATTACAGGAAATCATTAAATTGTTAATTGCTGCCATAGCAATAAGTGCAGGCTTAGGCTCAATTTCAACAGAGGTACCCGTATGTTCCACTGACAGTAAAGTGCCCCTGTGTCTAAGCACCATATTGTAGGACATGAAGGACTGGAACTGAATTCTCACACATTCTTATCTTCAGCACTAGGTGGAGGTGAATGGTTAATTTATGCTACAGTCTCTTTGTCCCAGAAGAAGGACCCTGATACCCAATGGAAAGGAGGCAAGATGGGCCCCATATATAGTAGTAGAGAACTGTACCGCTACCAGAGATAAAACCTCAGTCATCCAGCAAGAAGTTTGATTCCTGGTGGGGGTAGGTGTTTTTCTTCGGTGCATATGGGAATATATCCAGCCCCCTTCCCAATGGCTATCCTGATCTGTCAACTACCACAGAGTTTAAATTTTGTAAATACTAACACCACTCTCTGATTAGGTAAAACAAACAAAAATGAACTCCATGGTTTTAGTCCACAAGCAAACTATAGTGACCAAGCGACCACTGCTTGTTGGTGAAATTAGTGCCAACTTTAGCAGATAGAGGATGTCATGTAGTCAGTGCAACTAATCCCCCACAGCCATTAATTTCGGTTTTATAGACCGGAGATGCTATTTCCTTGAAATAGCTCCTCAGTTGTCCTCACAAGGCTGAGTGGACCCTGTTTGAGACCCACTACTTCTCAGAAAATCTGGTAGCGCCAGGAACTCTTGACTGCTAGACCACAGAGGCAGTCTGATTAGGTAAATTATCATAACATGGATGTGCATGCTCCTGAACTAAGTATGATTCTTGACTTTGGCTGTAGAAAATACAATGCAATTTTTTTAAATCTGTTCAGAAAAGTGACAGAACAGGCAGGATAAGATATCAGTAATATATTTTTTAGGGAATTGGAGTGAAAACTGATTATATATTACTTCCTTCAGAGATACAGTTTGCATCCAGGTATCCCAAAAAGTACAGTATTAGTGGATACAACTATATTACTCTGCACATCCCAAGTACGCCATCTCCAGTAAATGTTTCTGAGGTTTCTTAAAAGATCGTATGATTGTTTACCCATAAGTCGCAAAAGCAATTGTTGACCAAAATCAGCCTATCATGAAAAAAGAACAAAACTTTGAAAGTGATTTGGAAAGTAGGCAGGATAACCTCACAAAGCAAGTCTTATTACCCAACAATTTTTCTGTTTGGTTCCAAGTCTGTGACCTATGTCTTGACATGACAGGTTTAACAGTCTGGCAGATGAATTCAGAAGTTCATTATCACCTAAAATCCATCACTTGCCATAATCACAAACCAGTTCCATCAATCCCATATCATAATCCCTAGGGTTGAGGTCGAGGCTTCCACATTTTCTCCAGACAATCAGCTCATAGATGGTGGTAAGGTTGTCAGCCTTACGTGCCACCCACCCTTTACCCCCCCAAGAAGTTTCCTGGTATTCATTTCTGTTAGAGGCTGAGTCGACCCCAGGGCCATAGTGTGGCTGAAAGGATTAGGTAAACTGAAAAAAAAATGCACCTCGTTGGGACTCGAACCCACAACCTTCCGGCTTGTAGCATAGTGCCTCAACCATGCTATTGCGTGCCCCTCCTATACCACAATCTGTCAGAATTTCTGTAATAGAGTATGTGAGCCTTCCCATGCCACATACATTATGTTCTCAACACAATTTTCCACTGCATCATTTCTGATATATTCTGTAAGCATCTTCCCGCCTCTGTCATACATGATATATTCCACTATCTACCATTCACTGATATTGCTCATAACTTCAGTTCCTTTGAATGATACTAGATGAAAGTATTATCTCCTTTATTGTACTTGACTGAAAGAAACTTGTTCTCCCTAAAAATGAACAGGCTTTGAAATACCAGTAATCTTGTGACAATGGGAAGGGTTAATGTTACCCTCCAATCTCCACCCTCTTCTAAATGGTCACTTTCCAACTGGTTTCCCAGCAAAACTCTGTATGCATTTCTTGTTCCTCCATCATAAACTCACTGATTTACTGCTGTTGGCAGTGATATATAGGCTGTGCTCCATATTCTCTCAAATGCAATCAACTTTTGCACTGGGCTTTCTTAGTTAAAATGGTGCTAAAGTCATGAATAGTGGAGCTATACCTCTACTCCCCCATGTATCTTCATGGCATTGTGCTTAATTAAGCACAGGGACAACTTATACCTTACCTTATGTCTACATATAATTAGGCTCCTTTGAACAGGTTGATGTGTAACATTCTTCCCAACAACACAACATAATCACTGTCCTTACATCCACAAACTTAAAAACTTACTTGCACTCTTAATCAATGTATGAGCACATGCAATCACTGAAGAATATCTTAAATGGAGGTAATGACAAATTATTGAATGTGAACACTGTACGAGGTAAACCCCCTAATCAGGTAACATTAAATTAAGTTCAATTTTACATACAGCAGATAGCAATGTCACACCTATGGTGAGATTTACTTATGCAAGCCATTATATGTAAGTACTAACATAAAGGATTCTTCTGGAATATCCCTTATATAATTCTACCCACAATGTTTTGTGCTAATATCAGCAATGAAACAAACGGTGAAAGTATTTAAAAACCAAGAGCTGAGAAAAATACATTTTTTTTATAATGAACATCTATATCAATGTAACAAAGACCTCTAATACAGCAAATAAAACTGCAGACCTTGGCAAAATCTTATATACATTTATGCTGAGGGTTACACTGTCACGTGTAAGAGGGTATGTGTGATAAAATTAGTAAGTTCAAGTTCAGATGATTGGATTTATTAGCACATAGGTTACAAGTTTTCTTAATCACACTCAATATGGTGCTATCGCTGATTTACACAATTTACAGTTCACCGCTGCACACACACTCTAGGATTCTCAGTTTCCACTAGTCGTCTCCTAGCAATGAACCTCAACACGAATATAGCGCTTCAAATTACTATGAAGTCTTCTTGCTATTTCTTGTTCAATCGCCCTGGAACATCAGAACTCGACTAAAAACTCTCCTGACTCTTAATTACACTGCGCTGCACTGCCATCTGCACTAATCTAAGCTATAACAGGTCTTCATTATATAGGCTCTGCACAGACAACACAGAAAACACGAGTCACGTGAATCCTAGCCAGCGAGTTCATTGGTGCGCTGACTGTTGCATAGCAACGAGCTGTAATATTCATCCACTGAGACACATCTTCCATTGTTACATAATGGAACATGTTTACCGAGCTGTTGCCTAGAAACGCTTTGACCACATCTGTTACAATATATAAAAGAACATTATTTACCATTTTATGGTTATAAGAGAGACAACCTAACTTGTGAATGAAGAAGTCTGCACCCTTCCCTTGGTATTATGGCAATTAAAGAATAGCTGCTTAGAATACCTTGTGACATGAAGCCACTTGGAAAACCTATGTATAAATGGGAGGTTAACATAAAAATTGATTATTGAATATGTGGTTCTGAGGACATAAACTACATGAAATTGTCAATTGGAATATGGCCCAATGGTACGCTTTTGTGGTAATAGTGGTGCCAAAATCTACACAACAAAGTATTCCTTATAACACTAAATAAATATCAATTTTTCAGGAAAGGCCATGTTGAGCTAGTCATACCATATATAATGTAAGGTATTTAAGGATAAAAGCTGTGTCTCAGCTCAAATAACTAATTCTGAGAAAAGTGGTATACAGGCAATTGTCGCAGCTGAGATGCAACTCAAAAGTGTCAAGAATTATGTACTCGTATCAGTAGAAAAATCAACAACAGAAATTGTTGAATTCTGTGACCATTTACAACAGTTTTTAAACCTGTTACCTTCTTAATGCTATCGCTTCTAAACACATCCTCTGAACTGAAATTGTTAAGACAGTCAACATACGAGACAATGAAAAGTAAACTTTCTATAAATTATTTCTTTGTGACATGTTAAATAATTCTCATAAGAAGTGTCTTTTTTTTTTCATGTCTCCAGCATTTAGGTACACATCATCATCCTTTTCAGTACTGGGCTTGCTGTTACCTGTTAAGACAGTATAAAACAGAATCCTTCTACTGTTTTAGAGGTCTCTCCAAACTTTCTTTTTCTTTTATCTGATATGTTCCAGTTTATTCTGTTATTACTCTATAAATTATTTGTGGAATCTGTAGTTCTCTCATTTCTTCATTTCATTTATGACCCACAAGACTGTACTCCATGTCCTCATGAATCATATTTCTGCTGACATCAAGTATTCTCTCAACAGTTCTTACCATGATTCACTATCATGTGATGTTTGTCTAGGAAGTGTCTATAAATTTGTATTGTTTGCCTACAAATTAAGCATGATTTGAAGATTTGGTTTAAATTTCTAGTATCCTAATGAACTTCCATTCAAATCCTTTCTTCCTTCATGGAAAAATATGCAAACAAATATTTATATTAATTTACTTAGGTGTGGGATGGCCGTGCCATAGCTCAAGCAGTTAGTCGCTGGCTTCCCACCATGGCGGCCCGGGTTCGATCCCAGGTCTGGTCAAGTGGGATGTGTGGTGGACAAAGTGGTGCTGGGGCAGGTTTTCTCCGAGTACTTCGGTTTCCCCTGCCAATCTTCATTCCACCAATTGCTCCACAATCACCCTCACCTATCATCAGGGGCTGGTACAATAGGCCAGAAGTGGCTGCAGTACAAGGGACTTAGTCCCACCCCACTAGCAATAAAAAAAAATAGGTGTCGGATATAAAATATTAATCCTGATACCACAATAAGCACAAGAATCCATTATTAATGTTATAATTACTGCAATAATCTGTGTTCGATATATGTATACAAAATAGTCTTCATTTTTACCGTGTACTTATTATTTTGCCTTAATCAAATAAAACTGATCATCACACTGAAAATCAACTGTGTAATAAAATGAGGTTCCAGTTAACATTTATTACTATTTGTTTTCTTACGTAAAGACATTTTAAAATAAATCATTCTCATGATGTTCTCTGAATGTACGTTTATTTCAAACTGAAGTCAAATTCTTTTGTAGTATTTCTTTTTAATATGAATGTGTTTTAATTTTATAAAGCCATCCTAAAAGGAAAGAGTTGTCTAATGGTTTTAACGAAGTCGAGTTTAAAGAGACATGGTCAAAGAACCCAGTGGAAATACTGAATTTCAATTACAATTTTACAAGCCAATCAAGCAAACCATATTGAAGATACAGCAAAACTAAATCACTGAACAGTTTTAACTGCATCAATGACTTCTGCCCAGAGCATCACAAATGAGTGAGATGAGACATTGGCACAAACTTTTATAACGCTGTGATCAATAGCTTCTGAAAACTGCTCCATAGAATTAAGCTTTGCAGCCATGTACTGGAGTGTATTGGGTCAAACCTCTGTACTTGGTCATTTCACCATTCAATATAGTCAACTTTCAGTTATGTCAAACATTCATAAAATGACAAAACACGCTCTTCCATTTTATGAAATCCCCTTTTGTCAATGTATAGTTAGTCTGGCATGCTGCTGGTATCATTTCACAAAATGGCTCTAGTGGGATAACAGTTGCAAACATTAGGTTTTCACTAACTTCTACCAGTACCTAACACTCTTATTGCCACCATCAGCTGCTGTGGGAAGTGGTATCTAGTTTGCCTCATGCGGTTTTCAATAAATGGAGAAATGATCAATGCATTTTTGTATTAATATGTTTCTTCACCTATGGAAGTATAATCATTCTCATCACTTGGATTACATTTCAGTTCTAACAAATTTGTTTTGGAAAAAAAAAACACTTCCCCTGTAGATGCAACTGTATTGCTCCCATGTACCTTCCTTTCAAATTAATTTACTTGTTTTGTTCTTTTAACAATGCATGCCACTGCAACTCATATTAATACTCTGCCTTCTCATTCTCCAGTCACAAAATCTTGCACTTTTATATCAGATAAAAATTAAATTTTGGAAGCTCTTATGCTTAAACACACAAACAGTTGAAAATAATCTTTCTAGCATAAATAATTTTTTAAAAGCTGGACACACTCACATCCACATACACATATAGGGTGATTGGGTGTGGTAGTAGATGATCAGGGTAGTCTGGAACAATTGACAAACTACTGTTAAGCCCCCAGTTATCGAGCACGTGTGCTGAATGCAATGTGCCAGATATATGCGAAACTCTTACAAAAACAAAACAAAGTCAAAACAACCTACTTTCACTTTAGTTCTTGTATGGGAGTTTTCCTATGTGACAAAGTGGATCGATGGGCAAAAGATTTTGGATATAAAACACAATCAGAAATTCAAGTAGCCTCTTATCATAATGGCATCTGCCTGATGGGGGAAGAGAGGCAGCACTTCTAGTGGCAGCTGGCAGTGCTACTGCATAGCCTGAGAACATACACACATTGTAACTTCACTTTTGAAGTAACTTGGTAAAAATGGTAAATTTTCTTCAGCATTTTTGCCATTTGCTTGAGAATGTTTTGATAAAGGATCAATTTACTGTGCTTAGCAGACATTCTGTAGAGTTCACTGAAGCATCACCAAATTATTTCATCATATGTAAGCCATCCAGATATTTTAAGAAATTTCTAATTAAATATTATATTTAAGCATCCTGTTACACTCTATGCGACATATGATATAAATTCTGTCCTAAGTGCAACAATTTATTGTAGGTCTTTCGTTTTGCTTTCTTCTACACTACATGTTTCGGCCGCAAACGGCCATCATCAGGTGTATGCACTTACGTAGCTGTTACACTGCACCAGATTTAAACACACAGGTCTTCCCAATTGGCTAACAGGATCTACTTCGCTGATATTTGTCTGATTCGTACATCATCATTGTCAAAATTGATGTGTGTGGGTGACAAAAGATGATGTACGAATCAGACAAATATCAGCGAAGTAGATCCTGTTAGCCAATTGGGAAGACCTGTGTGTTTTTAAATTTTAAACTGGGTGCAGTGTAACAGCTACGTGAGGGTATACACCTGATGATGGCCGTTTGCGTCCGAAACATGTAGTGTAGAAGAAAGCAAAATGAAAGATCTACAATAAATTGTTGCACTTAGGACGGAATTTGTATCATACAAAGTAAATAAATAAACATAATACATATTTTTTCTCCATTTCAATTTCAATATTTATTTACATGGATAAGTATGGGCAGTATAGTAAATGTGTGCATGTTACAAAACCAGAAAGTAGCATGCGCTAGTATTGATTCACTTGTGTTCAAAGGAAAACTTGCAATTAACAGAAAAATATTATGTAACTTCTCAATATGAAGACCAAAAATCCACAGAACACTGCATCTAGATTCAATTTTCTACACCTACATAGCCCTACCTTAACCATCTAAATGTAATGTGAAGTAGTGGCTGCTTAATACCCTACTACCAATAATTACAGCACAACCGCCATTTCATGCTCCTTGATTTTAGGTCTTCCCTGATTTAACACTCAATTTCAACGATCCCAAGCCAATAATTTCAGTGTTAAATTTTCTCCATTTAACCTTCTCCTCTGGCACAATACAGACCGGTGGAGGGCTCTTGTGAACATGGTAATGAGCATTTCGGTTACATAAATTGCTGGGAAGTTCCTGAGTAGCTGCAGAATTGGCGACTTCTCAAGAAGGGCTCAGCTCCATGTAGTTACTTAACATTGTCACTTTAACATTTAAATCCAATGCTCCCCACAGAAGGATTGAACGGTGAGGGCTTCCCCATATTTGTATATTTGAAATAAAAGAAATCTGAATATTCTCTCTGTATTTAATATCTGCAGTTCAAACTTTCTTGAGGTGACATACCTTTTCTAATTCATAACAATCACAACAATTAAGTGTGGCAGAATAAATGCTTTGCAGAAAAACAACATAGATGTTCTAGACTTTTTCCTGTTAGTAACAGTATCAAAATAGGGAGTAGGTTCAATCTATCCCGTGTAGCCAGGTTAGTTACAAGGAACAAAAATTCTCCCTGCTCCCCATCATCCAACAAATTCTACAAGACTCTAATCTTGAGAGCTGTGAGGAATGCAGGAACTCATAACCAGTAAAGGCATGGCAGCAGAATGAATCAGTAACTACTACTTGAACAAAAATATTCGGTACATAGTGGTTGTGCAAGCTCCATATCACTGTCTTCATGAAGTACATTACTGTACTCAAAGTTTCACTGCTAAAATGATGCTTTGCACTGTAGAGATACAAACACAACTGCTTTAGTTACGTTCAACTGAGCACTACACAAGTACACTAGTGACCAATATGTTCTGAACTGATGTTATACACTGTAGGCAGGTCTGTTTCCATCCCCTCCTCCCTCAACCCACAAGTGTCAAGATTGGCGCCTCTATGAATGCTTCGCCAGCATCCAATATTGCCACTCACTTTTATTCTTGGGGTTGGGTAAGACCGAGTTCATATCCTAGCATTTAAGCCACAAACAGGCATATTGTTCAGTTCCCAGATGACGGAGAGAATGGAGAATTGGTGGAATGACAATTAGTATGGCAAAACAAAAATACTCGGCTAGAAACCTGCTCCAGTGCCACTTTGACATGAATCTCACCTGGCCTCTCCTGGGAATGAACTAAGGTGTCCGCTATGAGAAGTCAGTGTCTCAGCTACAGCACAGCCAATGCTGACATGTTGCAGAACAGGGGTAACAACAAAGTTATGATCTTCATTTCATGCATCCTGTTGTGTTACAATATACAACTTGTATTTGATTTGTATTCACCTGATGATGGCCGTTAACGGCCAAAACATGTAGTGAGGCATAGCTGGTTATTGACCTTGATACTCCTTAGTTGTTGTGTTGTGACGGAAAAATAAAGTTGAACAAAGTTATGCATTAAATGTGCCCAAGTTACAGCAGTGCCCCATGATAGGTTACACAAGAGAGGGAGACTAGTCGACAAACAAGGGATCATTCTTCAGTTTAAGCAACAGGTACAAGATATGTAAGGACCACTCAATATGACTGTCCTCCTTCACCCAGCAAGACGGTAAGGAAAAAGCATCACAGTGACTAAAGTGAAATATACTGTATATCAGCAACATTAAGTCGTGTCAAACTAATGATGGAGACAGAACAGGTATAGATGAAAGAATATCTCAAAAAGAGGTTGAGGATCTGGACTGGAGTTACCTGTCTCACGACAGCCCAGTGGTAGGCTCCCATGATCTGTTGAAGATTCCACTAAAGCTACAGAATATCTGGCCTGTGTAACTATCAGCTTCTCAAGATAGAATGATCCAAGAAGTCAAGATATCACACCCATCCAACTCAAACTTCAAAGTACTTATGTAAATAATGCAGCATACAGAAGAGCCTAACAGAGCTAGCAAATAAGCAGCAATCCACAACCAACAAAAGTTCCCGCCATGTATCAATCCTTCATGTACTTTTCAGAGCTCTCAGTCAATTGGGCTGACCTGTCTATCTACCGATCTTTCTAGATTTCTCTCCTTTTCACTGATATAAGGAATGCTTTAAGTTAAATATGTAAGCAGTATGGAAGTAACCATGTTAAGTTTTCTTTTCTAAACTAAACAGCCTTTTCTTTTTACACAAAGTTGAACTGCACATCCATGAAATGTACAAAAGAAAGCCAGCAGAAGTTATTCCACATCTGATACCTGGATGTACTTTCATTATGAATAATTCTACTTGCATTCATATTTCCTAGACTTTTCCTTACCATACAGATGTAATATGAAGCTCGTGTAACACAGCACTGTGACAGCACTAACAGCTATCAACTAACAAATGCTAGATACACGTATGTAATGTATAACCTACATACCTCCTGAGAATCCGTATTTTGCAACCACTTAAAGGTATTTGTAGTTCATGTGAGTAAAAAACTAACAAGAAGCCAACAGTGTCACCTACTAAATATTTTTAATAAATTATGCAATAATTCCAGTATTACATAACATAATAATGAGGTTCTGTGTTTCAACCAAAATTGTAACTTTCTTCCACCAGCTTCATCTAAGGTATATTTCCATTTAACATGTCTAATACTCCACAGTAGCCATCTCAAAAATATAACATACTGGATACCTGCACAACTATTTCTTTGACGCATCACTGGGACTTTAAAGTATTAAGCAAAATATAGGGTGCACATGTTGATATAAACCAAATACACTCACGAAACACAAACGAGTTATTGTACTCCATTTACACTGTCTTGATATTCATTTTTACTGGACTACAACTTACTATTGCTGTCAGCAATAAGAAAAGTCTAAAAGAAGCAACTCACCATAGGTGATACTCTCACTTATTCCTTTTGGCTTCTGACGAAAATCTTCCCTCCAATTGAAACACAGGTAATGTAAAAAAATAAGGAGAAAGCAGGAGAGCAACAAACATGCATGGTCTTGCAAGTTTCATACTCGACAGGGTTGACCTTCTGATGTCTTCCTATAGTTCCCCCCCTTTTACTTGCTTTGCCATTTTGGCTTTAGTTCCAAACTCTGTCTACACTGCACACACAAGTAGTGGCAGACTGAATCGTTGCCAACTCAAACATCCCTCCTATGACTTCACTTCACGTGGGTACAACTTCCATTCACTTTGGTTACGTTTGAAAGGTACATATATTCATTACACACCTGAACCACTGCACACTTTGTCACATTAACTTAAAATCGTTTCAGGAAAATTTCCACGGTTATAACCTAGATCAGATAATTGGAATTGTTTACTTTTATTAACACCATCAGTTTGTTAAACTAGTTACAAATCTCAAATGTGGCTTGTAAGCACAATGAATTCCTTATGCATTTTACAGAAGAGTGTCATAAATAAAACATGAAGTACCATATGTATCACTGTTATCTCAAGATGATGAAACACATTTAATTACATTATTCCCTACCCATCAAAATGACAGCTAAGAGATTGTGAACCAACAACAAGGATGACACAACATCTAGGAAAGTAGAAAGAACTGCACTATTACTTCAATCATCATCATTCCGACGTTTTTTCTTGGCTGGCATGTCATCACTAGACTGGGGAGATGAACATTCAGAATCTACCTGACTGATCTCCAGGCTCTTCCGTCTACGAAGTCGTTCCTTCACTGCAGTTAATGAATCCTCTCCATTCTCTTTACCAGCACTGCTCTCAGAATTGTTACTATTTTTAACTGGAGAGTCTTCAAGTTCAATAACCTGCACATTATGGCTCTGCTGTAACCGCTGCTTGAAACGCCTTGGACCAGGAGCACATGAGACCTTTGTGATAGTAATTTCATTACGACCCTGACCAGCTATCACTACTTCATCATCTGAGAGCTCAATAACATCCACACCTTCTTTCTGATCCTCCAGGAAATCCAGCATGGCTTGTGTAACATGCCTTTGCTTACATGTTGGACATCCATCCAGTCGACATAACTTCACACCACAACGACGAAGATGACGCCTTCTTATGTGGCTCACATACTGTGAAAATCCTGTTGGACCATCAAATGTTGCTTCGCAATTCTCACAAGCATGAACCTTACTTGGAGGGTTTTTTTCCTGCATCCATGCAGGTATGGCTCCTGTGCGACTTGCTGGACCAGGGCGAGGCCGAGCTGGTTGGGGAATTATTGTTATTTCATCATTTATCTTGAGAGGCTTAAGAATTGCATCATTTTGTTGTGGTGGTCGAGGAACTTGCGGGGTCTTCTTATCCATTACCCGTTTTGCAACCACACTATGAGCAGAATAAACATGATTTTCAAACTGTTTGTACATTCCAAATGTGGCTGTACACACTGTGCACTTATAGGAGAGGTGAGCAGGCTTCAAAGTCATGTTATGGTCTCGGGCAACGTGGTTCAACAACTTCCACTGATACACCTGCAATGAGCCATTAAAAATTCATTTAGTACACATTTACCAAATTGTATAAATTAAATAATCCATTTTCAGAACTCTAAACATTATACAAAACGTACTATCTACTATGACGAGAAAATTGAATAAGTTTTCTATAATGGAATGTCAACAAGGCAAGCAAATATATACACCTACATTAACTTCTTGGCTTAAATTTCAAAGATGAATGTAAAAATGTGTTTTGAGAACAAGCTTCTAGAACACTTACCCTGCCACAAACTGGACAACGCCCACCATCTTTGCCTTTATTTGCAGCTTCCTGCATGCTGGAGGTAACGAGTCCATGTGATCCCAGTAGATGGCGTTCCAGACCTTGGTCCGTAAAGAAACGGAACTGACATTTCTGACAGTTTAGAGGTGGTCTATTGTATATCATTTTAGGATGGATTTTCACCTTGTGTATCCACTGCATGTGATTACGTAGTTGTTCCAAGTCCTATAAATTACATATTAAAAACAGTCAAGTAATTCCATACAATATTACATTGTAACATCCTGCTGCACATCACTTAGTATCATAAACCATCATAAACCAAACTTAGCAATGTATGTGGTGCAATCCAAAAGTTCCCGAAATATATTAATAAAAACTATTACATCTAACCTAGATCTTATTCTGCACCATCACCTTCAAAGTAGTCACCTTGGGAGCACATACACCGATCCCAGTGTTTCTGCTGCTTTTCAAATGCATCCTGGAAGTCTTTCTTTGTTAGGGTCTTTAGTACCATCTGCGTTTCCGCTTGAATTTCCTCAACTGTATCAAATCTTTGCCCCTTCAACTTGATTTTCATCTTGGGGAAGAGAAAGAAGTCACATGGAGCTAAGTCTGGTGAGTACGGTGGGTGGGGAACAACTGCCACCTTGTTTTTAGCCAAAAATTCCTGCACAATGTAATCCGTATGCAGTCGTGTGTGGTCATGGTGGAGTACCCAGTCGTTCGTGCGCCAATTCTCTGGACGTTTTCTCCTCATGTCCTCACTCAAACGCCTTAGAACATCGCGATAGAACTCTTTATTGATTGTCCAACCAGGAGGGACGAACTCCTTACGAACAATCCCGTCAGTATAAAAAAAAAACATATCAACATGGACTTAACATTGCTCTTGACTTGTCGAGTTTTTGTGGCCGAGGTGAAGAAGGGCTCTTCCATTGCAACGATTGCTGCTTGCTTTCAGGGTCGTAGCCATAAACCCAACTTTTGTCACCAGTGACAACCTCCAAAAGAAAGTTTGGATCCTCTTGAAGCTGTTGCTGAAGTTCCCTGAAGACTTCCAAGTGATGCTGCTTCTGTTCATTTTGCAGCAGTCGTGGCACAAACTTCGCCGCAATCCTCCTCATGTTCAGTTCCTCTGACAAAATTTGTTGACATGTACCATAACTTAGTCCCAAGGTGTTACAGAGGTCTTGGATGGACAGTCTACAATCTTGCAGAATCAGATCCCTAACTTTCGCGACATTTTCTGGTGTTTTGCCCGTTGACGGCCGTCCCGAACGATCATCATCATCATCAGTCAATGTTCAGCCATTTTTAAAACTCTTATACCAGTTGTAAGTTTGTGTCTGGCATGAACTGTTTTCACCAAAAGCTTGCTTCAACATTTGGTGCGTTTCTGCAGCGGGTTTCCCAAGTTTGAAACAAAACAAAGCTGCTCTCTCAGGTCAGCCATCGCAAAACCGCAAACTCACGGAAACACAATGGAAATACGTTCACCAACAATAAACCCAACCACTCAACTCGACGCCGCTTGCCACACTGATTCAAGAAGGATGTGTGAGGAGATACCTAGCGGTATTTTGATGTACTCATAACCATTCGCATGCAAAATTCAAATTTCAGTAACTTCTGGATTGCCCCACATATTTTAATATTTGAAGAAAGCAGTCTTCTGGGATGTGGCGCCATGTAGATAGTGTGTTATCCGACATTCCTCCAAAACATTGGTTAACATGGCGCCACATCCCAGAAGACTGCTTTCTTCATAGTCACAGCTGTGAAAACCTCAAATATTACTTTAATGTTTGATGATCTTATCAAGCTTGTATACTGAATTAAATATGTCTTCTTACAAAAAAGAAGAATATATATGAAATCAAAAGTTACTTTTTAAAAAAAGGGCCTTCTTCTCTTACTACTCATGGCAACCTCTCACTATTATGTTTAAATTGGAAAATATCACAAACTGCCCATAAGAAACAAAACATACTGTACCTTAATGTATCCATCACAGATTTCACAGATGACAAAAGTAGCTTTGCCACTAGGATGTGTTCCATGTTTACCATGGGCTGGATTGCCTGGAGCAATCCCTGTAGGTTGTCGTGGCAGAGGAGTAATAGAGATACTGGGCTGCTGAAGAAGTTTTGCTGCAGGATTCTTGTTGTTAGCACTCTGATTGACACAAAAAAATCAGGAATACCTCTTACAAATACTCACAATTATATGGCACTGTGGACAACTAGTGGTTACCTGAATTATACCATATACAAACTGGGCATCACGATACTTTTAAAAAACTATATAATATATCTAGAAACGGGACACAGTGTAGGATCAACCCTCCCTCACAATGTGGTCCATCCATTTTACCAAAATTACATAAGATTTTTGCCTAATTCATGTACTTTGTTCCTTATACAGGGTTTCCTTGATCTGACAGCTGCAATAAAAAAGCAAGAGGGAAAACTCACATAAATCAACACATAATCTGCCCTTTTCCCTCACATTCTTCCTGTCACCCATAAAATTAATCTACCCCATTCCCTAGCCTCTTTCGATTGGCTAGCAAGCAATTCCTATTAACTGAATTATGTCTAAATTAGTTAACCAAATTAAAATGAAATATCATTTTTCAAACTTGCACGTAACAAGGAGTACCCATAAACTAGAATTAACATAAATTCCATCAACTGGGCTTGTCTGATTCTAGTCAATTTGTCAAGAGCAAGCACAACAAAATGCTCAACTCATCTGTGCTGTAATCCCAGCCATGACCAGTTATGCTTGTTTGCTTTGATACTATATTAAGCATAGCACAATACACATACAGATGAATGGCAAAATGACATAAGGTAAAAATCTGACAAACGATACTTGAACAGAGGCAATGAAGCCAACATTTTCAAAGTCAGGTCCCTAACTGGAACAGATGTGGAACCTGATGTCCATACATATATGATGGCTTGTTTTCCATGCTTTAGCATCTGAATGCAGTTGACCTAAGCTTTTTATTTCTTTTGAAAGCCTAGCATTTCAGTCATTTTAAATTGTATTAATTTGTTCATCCTGCATCCAGTCTAAGAGCCTCCAGATCACTTTTCGGGCTTATTTATTTATTATTACTTGGTGGGGTGGGACTGAGTCCACTTGGTATTGCGGCCACTTCTGGCCTATTGTACCAGCCCCAGATGATAGGTGAGGGTGATTATGGAGCAATTGGTGGAATGAAGATTGACAGGGGAAACCGAAGTACTCGGAGAAAACCTGCCCCAGCGCCACTTTGTCCACCACAAAACCCATTTGACCAGACCCGGGATCGAACCCGGGCCACCGCGGTGGGGAAAAGTCCGAGTTACAATATCCCGTTTATACAGTCACATCAAATTTTGGGCAGTTACTACATTCTGAAATTATCAGAGAATCAAGCAAACCAATACCTTATTATTTAGTATAAGTGGCATGCAACATGGGAGATGCAGAAAGAATTAAAATGTAAAGAATTGGAGGGAGGGAGGGAGGGAGGGGATGGGTGGGTATTATGATCAGGAAAGTGGACATGTACTCTAACATGACACACATTAAAATCTCCCAACAGATGCAATATTAATGACTTCTTGCTGGGACTAAAATGAATTTGGTGGGACATGCATGTTTCCAAACTCACTCTTTCAGAACGTTTTTCTGCTTAGTCCTCTTGAAGACATTAAACCCAACTATGAAGGTATCTAGTATAAAGAGCAGTCCCAACAGGAACTCTCATTAAAGGTGACTGACTTATCCTTCTAAATCATAGATACCTACTCCTTAATAAATCCATCATCATTCTGTAATATCCCAACTTCCCTACTAATATTCACACCTTAGGCATACAAAATTCCTTATATGGAGCTAGTTCCACTTTAATAACCACATAATTTCTTCCAGGTATCCAAACATTAAATACATAGTTACGACCCTCCTTGCCAGTGGAAGCTCTAACTTTCGAACTTACCTTGTTATGAGGACCCACTAACAATTCATCAAATTTTTCCTCCATTTTGAATATTAACAATATTCTACTCAACCATCACACTTCATTATCACACCCGAAACTTAACCCCACTTACAAGCTGTTTCATTACTTACCAAATTACTCTTTTTAGGGAGAATTAATTAGCAGAATTAGTAATATTATTAGAACCAACCACTGAAGTGTTTTACATTAAATCAGAATCCAGCTATCTGAAGAGGCAGACAAACATGTCTTCTCTCTTTGAAGTGCAGATCAAAAAAAGACATGAGAAAAGAATGTAACAGCAAAAAGACCTGCAATAGGTACTTCATGCATAATAAAGATTTAAATATTCCAACAACAAAAGGTAAAATACCAATGCTTCAAGCCATGAAAATTCAACTCAGAAATTCAGCATTTACCTGTATAGTGATTGAATTGTTACCAGCAGCAATGTTAGGTACCAGAGCAACAGGCGTGGGTGCTGAAGGAGCACTGCTGGCAGAACTCTGTGGCATTACTGTTAGGCGAGGCACTGAAGAGAGGCCACTCGGTACCATGGGCATCATTTGACTCTGGCTGCCCACCACCTAACACAACACACCATTTTTTTAAACCTTTCAAAATGGTCTCCACTATTAATTAATGATTCTATTTTCCTTACATCTATACACCAACTAAACTGCAGTCTTAAGAACAAGGGCATCTTTCTCTCCTTTTTCCAACACACTTATAGTAACTATCTGAATATCTAGGAACACCATACATATCACGTATCAATCATGCTTTTGTAAACAGAGAGTACCCACGATCTCTTTCATCATATAATCAATCCATGCATTCTAATTTTCAAATTATTATAGCTTCATCCTGTACATAACATAAAGCCACTCTAGCATGTGTTCAGAGCCTAATACTAACCTGGTAGATCTGATTGCCTGCAATCTGATATGTAGTGGGAAGTAACATTTGTGGCTGCGTGCCCGATGCTGAAGGCCGATACATCATGCCTGTTGAGGGGGGAAAGAAAAAGACATGATGAGAATTATAGCACATCATAAGTTAACATTCTTACCCAGAGAAGTACACTTCTAGCAGCAACATCATCTGTCATTTCAAAGTTATCATTGAGGTAAAATACATGGACACTGTAATGCCAAACATGGCTGAATGCACACTCGTACTTTCTACCTTTAATTTAGTAACTGCTCTAAAAAGAGATATGCATATTTCATGCCCAATGAAATGTCTGTAAAGACATCCTATTACATCTGTCAGTTTACTATTCAAGATTCTGTTCATTTGCAATTAAGCTCCAAACAGTATATTATCATACATTTTCTTTCATGAGTCTCCCCTCACTGCATCTTCATTAGCGTCAAACATTGTCTCAGCATGTATTAAGCATAAACTACATCAGAGTCTGCCCCAGCCCCTATCACACTGTTATACTGACAATATCTCGCAAACTTTAACTTTGCGTTCTTCATAGCAATCTACATTTGTAGTGTAAACTCTGGAAGAAAAGAAACAATTTATTAAATGGGTTCATACAGGTATGTATCACAGTCCAGTATCTTTTTAAAAAAATTTGCCATAATTATCTCAGCAACATAACCCTCTCAAATAAAGATATGTAATGCTAGCCATACTACCGGCTATTTCTATCAACAGATATCTGCCACAAAGAAACCAAACTACAAAAAAAATAAATAAAAAAATGAGATGAATGCAGATACTGAAATAACCAAAACACAAAAAATATAGGTCTATGGGAATTATTAGTTTTCTTCCTTAGATATTTCCACTTTATGTCGGTAAACTAGCAACCAAGCCTCATCATCAATTTTTTGTGGAAGTTTTTCCTCTTCTTTATTTTCTATGATTATTTTTCCTTCTGTGTGACATCTTTCCTAACCTGATCTCAGTCTTCCTTAAAACCCATCCATAAATCTTACTCTGCTAATTAAGCTTCCAAGGCAATTACTGTTAAATTTAAACTTTTCATTTCTTATTAAATTTCATCTGACTACATTATGCCAGATACGCCTGATATAGGACAATTTGCATTTTTATCTCTTGTCCTGGTGCTCAGGTCCCCACACATGTGGCACTGGTTTCCAGAAAGAAAAAAAGGAAAGTTACTCAACATCACCATTATGTTGCACTTCTTGGAGTCAGAAGACAATGTAAACTTGTTATTTGTGATTTCAGTAGAATTTTGCAATGACTCATAGAAATTAATTTAATAAGTGTATGTGTGATGCAAAAATCTTGAGATTAAATTACTTCATGAAATTAGTAGTTTACAGTTTTACATGAATTCCTATCTTATCTGTCACAAAACTAAGTTTTATGAGGATCGTATCCATTATGTACTACATACATACAAGACATTAGCAATTAGCAATGCTGCTGGCCCCCAACAGTGCAATCATTTTCAGGTCCGAGTCCCATGGGACAAGTGATCATATTTTACTGTCTCAGATTCAAGACTTCCCTTTTCATTGCTTATGACTCGCAGGGCTATGGTGGAGGTATTCGGCACCGTCTTCCCTAGCTACAGACTGTCACTATATAGAATCTGCACAGCCCACATACAAAATGTGCCTCATTCTCATAGTGTGTTGTTGTACACATTACACAGCAACAAGTTGTTTACCAAAAATCTGTCTTCACAGGAACTTGTTTATTGAGCCATTGCTATTGTATAACTTCATACTACATTATTAGACATCATTTTCCTGCTCTGTGTGAAAATCTTTCCTGTCTCCTGGATGTCTTCTAGTCTCAGGCTCAACCATCTTGTTCTGGGTTGACACATGGGTACCTCCACCCCTCTGCATTCATATTTTAATTCTAATACAAATTTCTCAGTACCCTGTCCTATCCATAAATTTAAAATTCCAAATTCCAACCTTGTTGTGATGTAATTTAAATCATATGTACACGTTTAATCAAGATGTGATCTGTGTGAATTTATCAGCAGACAACTCCAAGTCTACCAGCTGAATGTTAAAACATACTAATTAATTTTTTACTTGGTTCATCCTGGTCCATCACACTAGCAATATTATAAAAGGTTAATCAACTCCAGCCAGTGTGACTGCTAAAATCTATATTAAAAAGTTGAGAAAGACAAAAAAAAAACATTTTATCAGTCACACTGGACAGAGTTCATTAACCTTTTATAACATACTAATTGAAGTTTCCTGCACATTTATTAAGTAATTTCATTATGAAGTGACAATGGAAGTAACCCATTACAACCAATGAGTTTACACTTCTCTTGCATCATACCACATTCCCACTGCTTGCTGTCTACAGACAATGTAATCAGAGGTTATCCAATACGAGCATATCACATTCCAATACAATCCCCAAAAAACAATACATTATAACACAAATCTGAGAACCAGAATTCCATCACAGGCACTGACAGACAATTATGTAGTTCCCAAGTTATGTCACATAACAATGCCACCTCTGATGTTAGCCAGTCTGCAAGTAGGAGCATCTAACTGACAGATCATTGGCTTTGACTGTACTTGACTGATTATAATGGGGGGGAAATTAAAAAAAAGGCCAGGGTTTAAGAAAATCAGAAAATGTTTACAATATGGGGATGTTAAGGGGGAAAAAAAGGTCTGTTACTTTAAAAGCTATGAAAATACAAACAGCTGTTGAAGAAAATATCTACTGCCCTGGCTGTGGATTGAAATTCAGAGCTGTAACTGAAGACTAGGTGCAGACTGTATACAGTGGCAGCATATCCGTTCCCAGTGCGAGAACAATGATATACATATATATGTACTGTGGACTCTACTATAGCTATTAAACAGGTATTTCACTTTTCTTTTAAAAAGAATAAAATCATGTTATGTATCACATACATGTATTCTGAATAAGTTTTCAGAAAACCCTATTGTAAATAGGTTGCAGCTTCAGCATTTTTACAATACTCTGAAAGTCATAACATAAAGTGCATACTCTTAGTGGAACTTTGCAATAATTCCACCTACTCTCATCATCTGCACTCCTCTAACACTTAAAAATTTTCCCATCTAGGAAACATTTATAAATAAATATTACAAATGCACTTACTTTGTCTGATTTGTGGAGGTACAACGCCACGTTGAGGAGGTACCTTCATGTCTGGCATGTGATATCGAGCATGTATAGGGGGTCTTCCTCTACCACGTCCCATTCCTGGTGATGTTAGTGAAGGTGCTGGCACCAGCTTGGGAAGTAAGGGATGATGAGGCTGAACTTGTTTCCCTGCCATGGCTTGGTAAGCAGCCGCACCAAGTCCAAGAGAAGATGGTCGATTGCGAGAAATTCGTGGAATTTTTGCTGGTGGTTCCCAATCAGATGGTTCCTGATTACGTTCTGGTTTGTATTTTTTAGCACATGACAACAAATGACGGGTCAGTTTACCCTTCTGATTGTCCTCAAATGGGCAGTTAGGGCACTGATGAAACGCTGGAGCACGTTCCAACCTACCACGCACGTTATGTTCAGCTTCCATATGGAAGAGTATATCATGTGGACTTCGTACCTCCAATGGGCAGAAATTGCAGCGATACACATAATTCCGCATGTGTGGTGTTTCAAGATGCTGCGCCATAACAAGGGAAGACTCAGTCTTAAAACTGCAGTACTCACACTTCTTCTGTTCCAAATGAAATGGTTCATTATTTTCCTTGCTCAGTTCCAAATTCTTCAGAAGTGAATTAATGGCAAACTGAGTCACAGCTCCCCCTTTTCCACCATCTCGTTCACGTTTCCGCTTCTGTGACCGAAGCAAATCTGTCTGTACATATTCTTGAACAAGGTTTACACCAATCTGCATAAAAAACTTTCCTAAAGGGTTGTCAAAATATGTTGGTGGTTTGGTGGGCTTTTCTTCAGTCTTAGGAGGATCGGCAACTTTATCTTTCTTGTCTTCACCTGGTCCAGACACTGAATTTTGGGTTTCAGGGCCACTTTTACTTGCATTATCTCCTCCCTTCTTTGGGTCCTCAGAATCTCTCTTTTCTTCTCCACTTTTGTCTTCATCTGAATTTACCTGGCTTTCACTTTCTCCTTCCTTTCCTTTGGCTTTTACATCTTTACCACTACATTCAGCCTTATCTTCACTTTTGCTCTTATTCTGGCTTGCATCAGATGAATCCTTGCTATTGACACCATCACCATCAGTGGTATTTTTCTTCTCCTCAGTTTCATTACTACAATCTTTCTCCTTTGAATTCTTTTCAGGATCTTCACTGTATGGTTCTCTTTCATCTGTTACAGCTTCTTTGCCACCTTCCACATCTCTTTGTTTCTCCTTGTTTTCTTGTTCTGTTTCTCCCTTTTCATTATTTTCCTTTGCTTCCTTTTCTTGTCTCTCCTGTTTCTCTTTTTCTTTCATTTCTTCTATTTCTTTTCCTAGTTTTTCTATATACTCTTTTAAAGGTGTAATAGGAGGTTTCTCATACACATAAGGTACTATAAATGATGGAGCCTCTACTACATACATATCATCTGTAAGGGTAGGTAGAATTTGTGGAGGTTTGGGAGCTGGTGGAGGTGGCTGGAGTACAGGACTACTCAGGCGCATAGAAGAATGTGAAGGATACATCCCCTGAGCAGGTACAGCAACTGGCAGTACTGAATACCCTGATGACGAAGCTGCTGAAGCAGATGATGTTCCCGTTTGAACAGGTGATGTTTGTGCTGGAGGAGGTGGTCCTTGGGAGACAGGAACAGGTCCTCGCCCAGACAAGATTGAATTTGTATCTATAATAACAAGCGTGGGTTCCTTCTTGCCTCCTTTCATACCTTTTGTTCCCGCAGCTATTTCTACAAGGCGTTTCGTATCATTCACAACTATCGTGGTTTTTCTCGCACTGCGTGCCTTACTGTTTTCCTTGTCATCTCGGAAAGGATCTGCAGACAGAGGATCAGCCAACGGATCCTCTGGTGTGATCTCTTCAATATCAGGGTCCTCTTCCTTCTCCACATAGCTCTTCTGCGCTTTGCAAAGATTCCGGGAACTACGGCGAGGTGTCACATTCAGTAAAGTTGCACTTTTACGAGGCTTTTTTACCTTTCCTGGAGCATCTCCACTTTTTGAATCAGATGCATCTGTGTCCCCATCTTTCTTATCATCTTCCTTTTCAGCAGCCTCACTATTACCTTCAGCATTCTCATTTCTGGGAGATTTTACTGACTTTGAAGATTTTATGGAATCATTACTAATCTCCTCAATATCTGGACCTAGGGTATTAACTGGTTTCAAATCTTCTGTAGAACCATCAGACACTTTCTTGGAAACACAGCCTTCTCTTTCAGAATGAGTAGACTCTCCTTTAGAACTATCTCCTTGATTAGAACTACCTGCTGCTTCTTTACAGCTATCTACATGATTGGCATTTTCAGATCGTTTAGTTTCAGCACTAACATTTCCTTCACATTCAAGGTCTAGGGCCTTACTATCTAAACTACACGAGTCTTTATCTTTGTCCCTACTGGCTAACAATTCCTCTCTCCTATCTTCAGATGTACCATGATCACCATCATCTTCGTCACACGATTCTGCATCTGAACCTAAACTGTTTTCTCTGGATCGTACATGGTTATCAGAAGGACGTGGAATCTCTTTAACAAAGTCTGTGTCCATAGCTTCATCATCTAAAACATCATCAGCATCACTGACACCATTACCCCCCTGAGTTTCAACTTCCATTTCATCATTCTTATCAATGTTCTCATCTAAAATGTTTTTCATTTCATCTTCTTCTTCATCATCATCATCATCATTGCCATCATCAGCCTCTTCTTCTTCTTCCTCTTCCTCCTCGTCCTCTTCCTCCTCCCTAGGCACTTCAGTTCCCAAATCCTTGCACATTTCTGATTCACCCAAATTTTTACTGTTAGGCACTTTCATATCTTCCCCTTCACTGACGGAAAAGTTTTCAGCATTATTAAAATCTTTACTACAGTTACTTGCATTATCTGAAAGCGAGTCTTCACTGATATCTATACTTTTATCACTCATTACATCACTGGTCAATGATTTTGTAACACGTGGAACATTCCCACAGACCTCCATCTCCTCTTCACAAGAGCCATTCACTTCGCCATTAACACGGACTTCACCTAAAAAAGAAAATGACCAAATTACATTTGTAGCCTTGCATAAGCCATTTCTATCAGCCATATATTCATAAAGAAAATTACATCCTTGTTCCAAGTACACTAGACAATAATCAGTGGTATTCCGAATTTCTGAAATATGCCTTTAACTGTCACGCATCTACAAATTCTGCACAAAAATTAACAAAACCATTCCCTTCATGAGTATGTTCCCAACAGTCTGTTGGTATTTTGAAGAATAATCTGATGACAATGTTTCATCCACCCATACTGTCACAATTTTGAGTGACTATAGACGGAGTGTGGATTGGTGACTTGATTTATTGACCACTTACAGATAGTAACTACAAGTAACTACAACAGCATCAGTGGTTTATGCACTCTAAATATCACTATAACTGCACACATAGAGTATTCTATGTTCTCACCAGTCGTATCCTAGTAACGGGTCTTAACACAGTCTTCTGCTTACATCCTTACCATGTCGAGAATATCCCTTAACTGAACTAAGGTCTATACGACGAATTTATGGACCAATAAAAGAGAATGGGATATGGAGAATAAGATATAATAAATCAATATACAAATTATATAAGGAGCCAGAGATCTCAGTGACGATAAAGCTAAAAAGACTGCAATGGGCTGGGCATGTACAGAGAATGGATAAGGAGCGTACCCCAAAGAAAATATTATATAGTACAACAGGTGGTAGGAGACGTGCTGGGAAACCAAGAACTAGATGGACTGATGCAAAGAAGTGAATGGGTGTAAGGAACCAAAAGAGAGCAGCACAGGGCAGAGAGGGATGGAGGGGCTTGATAAGGGAGGCCAAGGCCCGACATCTGGTTCTTGCGCCATAGAAGAACTAAGCTCTAAACTTCATCCCGCTTATAACCCCTTGGCAGACTGCAGAGAAAACAGTTCCTCTATTGCTGTACCACAGTTGCGTTCCTGTCTGTTGGGGTTCCCACATGATCGCTACACAGCCAGTCCACTGGTGCACTGATTACTCCCTAGTAATGGCTGTTGTATCCTTAGTTTCATGGTCATTGCCTAGCAACAGGTCTATATGCTGTAATATTCTTACCCTGGCACATTATAAAGATCATACTGCAGACAATTAGAGTGTAACCAACAAATAACTATCAGTATTAGAATGTCTACAATCGACAGTCAGAATGGTCTAATAATGTATTAGCATTATCTGTAACCCTCAAAAACCCAAATGTCACTTGAATTTAAAATTAAAATTATCATGCTGAAAGAAAAAACAAGAGGTAAAATAAATAATGGCATCATAGTTAAAATGTTCTTAAGCATACTGTCACATGATGGGTTTGGATTGGTAAATGGATTTACTGACCACTTACAGATTGTAACTACTGTTAACTATAGCACTATCACTAATTCACACACTATGCAGTTCATTACAGAGCGTACTAAGTCTTCTCAGTTTGCTATGTCTTCACAAGTCAACAAGTAACAACTCCCAATGGCAGACCTTCCGCTTACTTTAGGTTCCTGAACTATCCCTGTGCCCCTGCTACCAGCTTCTAACATCAATGGCTCACAAGAGCTGAACTGCAGCAGTCCTCCAATTCACCCACCAACCAACTCACTCCACTTCACTGAACTCAACTCAAACTGCACTGCACTAACTACCTGAACTCGGTCAGACAAGTCATATAGCCTTGGAGTGGACCCAGAGAAAACACCGCTTGCAAAATCTCTTCTGTTGTTACATGATGTTACCACATACATGATGCATTTCTCTGTTGCATGTGTACAAACCGTTACTTAGCAACAAGTCTACATGCCACACAACATCTTACAAGTATGAGGTTTCTGCAGCTTTATCTCTATCCTGTACAAACATATGGTACATTCTAATTTCATACCAACTACACAGAGCAATGCCCTTCTAGAGCAGCTGATGACATTCGGTTGTCACGAAATTCCCTGCATTTTATGGAACCTCAAACTTCATTACCATACTTACAACAGACTGCCTGATAAATCCCATATCCTACTTCTGCAACATTCATTTTAATATGATCCACTTATTTACGCGGTCTCATCCCTTCAAGTTTTCTAAGATGTCAAAAACACTTCTGATCTCCCCCACAACCCACCTCCATCCATCTGATCTTAACAACTTTTCCAAGAGATAAATTACCAAACTCCTCACTGTACAATATTATCCATCCTCCTCTGACTTCACTTCCTTTAGATCCATACTGTCTCATCACACTATTCTCAAACTCAAGCAAACTATATGTTGTGATATCCTGACATACGGCATACTACAGTCTGGTAGATGGCACAAACATTTCAAAGGAACACACTTCTTCTGTCTAGAGCAGTGCTGTCCAACGTTCTTATGTACTCGGGCACAATTCACTGATGCCCATGGAGGTGTGGGCGCCACCACACTACTACTACTACTACTAATAATAATAATAATAATAAT